GTGGGTTTGCCTACAGAGAGGTTTGGACAGGAGGAGAGGGGTAAAGGGGTGTGGCATGTTGACAAGTGTCTTTGATCACCGTGGGGGTTACAATCCAGTTTATTCCACCTGATCAACACTGTCTTGACCTTGTGGTCCCACACCCAGCAGAGGAGCAACTGAATCTGGGGCTCAGGGGAGGGGCAAAGGGAAACCACCAGATTTTCCCTCTTTTCCCATCTTAAATGTCCAGACTTTGTTTTCCTGGGGTCATTCTGGAATTTTTATAAATATAAATATAAATATAAATAATAACACCTTAGCTGTAATCCATTGTCATTTTAAGATTTGATATATGGGATAAAACAGTGCTTGAACCTTAAAAGAATAGTACTAAATGACTCATTATGAAATGTGTTATCCTTGAATTACCTTGAATAAACAACATTAACAAAATCTTAACAAAATGCAGCAAAAGTCAAAGTCAAAATGAACATCAATCACTAATTTTCTTCCTTGTCTTAATTACATTTCAATGTTTCTCGTTTGTCTGCATACTGTCAAAACAAATGACTTCTGGACTTTTGCACAGCACCCATCTGTACCACTAAAATATTTTAAAATGTATTTATACATTCTTATTTAAATGTAAATATTTAAAATATTGTTTTTGATTGAAAATATGTGAAAAAGAAATTAATCAGGTGTTTAAAGTCACAACACTTGTGGCACTCACATTGTACCAGCAAGTTCATTAAATGTACGCTTGCTGCCATCTGCTGTTGCTCCAGTTAGTCTTTTTCTTTTCTTTTTTCTTTTTCTTTCATGCTTCAGAAAATCAACATTTTGATTATGCTTCTAGAACTAAAGAATCTTTGATAACTGCCTGACATTTTCGCTATGAAATTAAAAAAAATTCTAGTTCATATGGTGTTTAGTGTTATTATTGGTAATAAATTTTCGTAAACTGCAAATATATAGTCTATCAATAAACTCAGTCATTGAAACTGGTCCACACTAGAAAAGAGTTCACAGAACTCTAAATGTTGTTTAAGTCTAGAATTTGCTAAATCTTTTTTCTTTAGTTCCAGTAAGGATTTTACAGAATTGAATTAAGTCATATTGACCACCAGAGGGCGCCATAGCGCCATAAAAGACTCAAAGTTTAGTATTTGTCATTTTAATCTACACGTTCAGTAGATGGTTTTCTGTGATTTCAGAAAAACATAAAGTAAGTAAGTAAATATCTTCAAAGCAAGAGTGTTTTCCAGGTAAATGTCAGAGGATACATACCCATCTGTAATTATCTGGTGCTGGTTTCAGTCACATGAATAGTGCTTGGTTAGTTTGTGTTCCAGAAATGAAATATCTCAAGTTTCAAATGCCATATCACAACTTTTAGCACTTTCCCTGGTGCATCCACCAATTTAACATCTATGTGCAGATATAAATAAATCTAAAATGACATAGAGCAGTTCCAAGAATCATTGAGATGCCAAAGCAAATAAATGCTGTACAACATAAATTTGATATATTAAAGAAGAAACTAAATGCAATACTGGTGGGATCCTCATGCTTTGTGCTTATATTTTTGCTGGAATGGTTCACATTCACTTGTCCCCGTAGAGGAAAGAGTCCCTACAGATTAGCACCAAGTTGTTCTGAGTAATGAAACACTTACTTATAGGATTGATCTCTTCTAGGATGACAATGCTGTCATGCACGAAACACAAGGTGTCTGTGAATGGTTTGAGTATTTAGTCTTGAGTCACTAAGCAGTGAACCAGCTGAGATTTTATATGAGACAGTGCTGCCCTCTGCTATGATAAAAGTGCAGAATGAGAGTATTGTATGTATCCCTGTATTGGAGGTCCAGAGACTTTGAAGAATTAATGCCAAGAGCACTGAAGCTGCATGTAGCTCATTTACATCTTATTTTTAGATGTCTTTACATTTGTCTTCTGTCTGTCTTTGTCCGACATTTAAAAAGAAAAGGCAGGACATTCACCTGCAGGGTCAGTAGAGCAGTAGAATCCTTGGTCAGCTGAAATGTGAAAATATTTGTTTTTCCATTTTGTTAATTAGCTATTTGGTCCTTGGAGACTAAAAGGCAAATCAAGTCTGAAAATAGCAGCTGGGCCTTTGGAAACCAGAGGTAATGTCTAATGCCTGTCCTCAATACATTCAATTTGTTCTTACACCAGCCCATTAGAGCTGAGGGCAATCACTGCAACCCCATTGCTTCCCCTGGGAGCCTGTTACTTGCTCAGTACTCCCCCAACCATCCATAAAGGATTTGCCCCTGTAACCATCCCCAGTAACATGGTACCTTCCAATCATTGCTTTTTATGTACCTTCAAATGCACACTTTAGACAGCAGGTGCATGAGTGATGTGGCAATATTGTAGCATAAAAAGTGTAAAAAAGAAAAAGTAAGCCAAGAGGTGGCACGGCTGAGAACTCTCCTGCAGAGCATCATAACATACTTGGACCTGTTTTCTTGCGAGTGGGTGGCCATTTCATTTGTGCTAATTCAGAAGGAAATGTGCTCTCTGAAAGATGAATTTTTCACTTAAAGGCTTAAAAGACCTATTTGCATTTCTAAATGTTTTTCTTCTACATGCATTTCCTCTCATAGAGGCAGCATCTGAACTGAAGTGTTCAAAGATAAAACGGGGGTGTGAGAAAATAGAACCACAACTTTAACAATGTAAGTTTACACAGTTCATTTCTGACAGATGTGTGCATTTACGCCATCTGCTAAATTCTCTCGAATTTATTATAAGCAGCAAAACTGAGTTCCATCTAGAGCCATGAAGTGGCTCTTTTGGTTTCAACCATTTAAATCCAGGTCTCTCCAAGTGCAGCCTGTGGGGAGGGAGGCCAGCGACATTGACAAATACAGAGAGTGTAAAGAAATGTAACAGAGACCAACAACAACTCATAATTATATGTAGGTGTCATATTCATAGCCATATCAAGTCATATTCTGGCTTTCTACAGTCATCACAACTTTTGAAAACCCATAATTAAAATGCAGAACCTTATAAAAACACAAGCACGGATGGTCTAAACTTGTAAAATTACATCAAAGCATGAAAGTGGTGCACATGGATGTGATGCTTTGCTGATTTGCCGACTTCAGATTCAACATATGCAAAAGTCATCTGACAAAGACTTAAAATAAATGCATCTACATTTGAAATGTTAGGGGATTTTGTGTATGTGCATGTGATTTTTAAAAATTGAGTAGAAGAAAGAATCTAAGTGCATTCCCCCCCCCCCCCCCTCCAAAAGGATACTTTATTCTCCTTTTGTAGCCATGAACTTAGCAGTACAGATACTCTCTTCTTGTTTCATGTGTTGCATTTTTGCCATGACTGTGCTGCTTTTGCAGGCAGCAGCAGAGGTGACTGGGCTGCGCACTCGAGCGTGTGCAGTGACACACTAAACCAGCAGAGAGACAAGCAGGCAGATACAATAGAAATTAATTCAGCTTGTTAAAGTGCAGCTGTCTGGTCAGCACTGAGCAGGTGTCACCCCTGCCACCCCCCACCCAACTTCACTCTCCACATTCATCTATTCATTTGCACTCCCCTTCCCCCATACAACCCTCTAGCTTACTATTATAACTATCAACAGCATTTCAGTCATACAACAACAAACAGCCATGTACTATACGACCTGTTTTACTACACAAGTAATAAATAAGTAACATAATAATTCATAATTTGTCCATGCTTGCATCTTTCTAACTAACACCTTCCTCTTTCCCTTCATCCAGCTCCTTGTTGCTTTATTCTAGTGTGAGACCTCCCCCAGGCAGACATGAACCTACAAAAGAATATGTTAAAAACCGACTAAAACAAGCTGTTATGTGACTGATATTTTGAGTTAATGAGGCAGTTGATGGTGCCATAAATTCTTCTGCAGGAAGAATTTAATGCATTTCATGTACGATGGCAGAAAAAAGCCAGGAATGATCAGAACAAAAGGGGAAATGAATTACTGAAATGCTTAGAAGCTGAGGTTATTTCGGTGGAAAAGCCTGCTGTTTGCATTCATGTCGCAGGTTTTAGCAGTGATCTCTTCCCTTATCCTCATGACACTAACAGATTTTATATTTGATGCACTGTCATTTTTATTTTCTGCTGTAGATAACACATAACTCTAAAATGCAACTAAAAAAACAGGTTCACTCTACAAATTCAAACTGCTCCATGAGCAGATGGGAGGGTTTGTAGGTCAATTCTTTGATGTTTTGGGGGAATTTAAATAACCCATGGATGAGGTTACATTCTTCCAAATAGCATTTAATGAGTGAATGCATATTTTATTTAAGACATTTAATAAATTACCTTAAAACTTGCATTGATTTCACATGAAATGTAAATGAAATATCAAACACTTTAAGTATTTTATAAAAAGTGTTTAGAAAGCTTTAGAACATATGTGATATACAGTATGGAGATAAGAATGTGCAGAAAACACAGACAAACAAGAACCAAGGACAGGATGGCTTTGTGACAGGACAGATTTTAATTCAGTGAAGTCTTCATTATGATTCTTAGTTCATATTTCTTATGAAATCCCAGAAAGGCGAGGAAAAATACAAAGCTACAGCACATTTTCTACCATTTTCTTAATCAAAAATTACATTAAATTTAAAGTTAAATGCAAATTAAAGTTAACCTGTGCATAATTTCAGATATAAAACCTGCACACAAACGGTTCTTTAAGGTGAAACAGAGAAAGAAGAGGGTGACATAGAGGTTCCAAAGCCCAGAACCCCTCCCTGTCTTCAGCATTTACCTTCATCTTATTGCCCTACACCCGTTCATTTGAGTTGCCTGCTCTCTCCTCCACTGAGCATCCTTTTTTACAGCTATTCTCCATCTCTTTGCCACCTGGCCCTCTCTCCCCTCCCTTCGTTCCTCGTTGCATCTGTTGTCTTTCCATCTTACACTCTACCCCCACCCCTTTCCCTCTTCCCCCCCGCCGGTGGTGACCGTACACCGACCGGATCACAGACTCTTGTTGTCAGTCACTTTCCCGGCGAACAGACGGCAGCAGCAACAGCAGCAGGCGGAGCGGAGACGGCAACCCCCCCACACTCACACATCTACCCCACCCCTTTCAAAAAAAAAAAAAAAAAAAAAAACGGAGGCAGGAGGGGAACAAAACCTTGCGGGACACCTGTGCTGCTGGATTCCCTCTTTTGGGGCTTTCATGAACATTATTAGAAACCTAAATTCACACCCAGTTTTTGGGTTATGTGGACGAGCAGCGGAGATCAGTAAAACTGGGATGTAGACGCAGAAAAAAGCGGCCAAATCTGCTTCGATTGGACTGTGGCGAAGCCGTCGGCGGCACCACCAGTAGCACCAGCACCAGTATTGGTCGGTCGGCGGATGGAGATGCGTTGTGAAGGCGGAGGGATGATGATGATGATGATGATATAGCAGGTTGCTGCAGGGTCGTGCCGCATTGCCTGGCCGCCGCGAGCGACGCCGGGGAGTCGGTGATGCTGTCGTCGTCATTGTGCCACAGAAAGAGAGAGAAAGAGAGGAGAGGCTCTGACATGGAGGGAAGCGGCTGTCTGTCGACTCCGAGCTCAGGCCGCCCGGATCAGCAGGTTGGATGTACCGCCTGAAGGCTGGAGGACCTGATTCATGATATACATGGTGGGAAATTCTGATAAAGTTGAATTCTTTGTGGTGGAACTGATTTTTTTTCTGTGCGCAAAAAGTGAATGGCCCATATGTTGATTATGCATCACAGGAGCATCATAGCAGCTGCGTGTGTGCCAGTTCAGGGTGGATTACGTCTACAGAGCAGCAGGCCTCCATCTGAAGTCAGCTACTGATCAGGAAAGCGTGAAGAAAACACTTCAGTATACTTTCTTACCCTGTTGCTGCTCCGGGGGTAACCATTTGTACTGGTGTTTCATTGGAAGCTGGTGTGTTGTGATCCCCCGTGGAGGGACAGCTGTTGCAAAAGATGACTCACTTACAGGCTGGTTTGTCTCCAGAGACCCTGGAGAAGGCCAAGGTAGAGCTGAAAGAAAACCCTGAGACTTTACACCAGGACATCCAGGAGGTCAGGGACATGATCATCACCAGACCGGACATCGGGTTCCTCAGGACAGACGATGCGTTTATCCTCAGATTCCTCCGAGCCAGGAAATTCAATCACTTCGAGGCGTTCCGGCTGCTGGCACAGTATTTTGAGTACAGACAGCAAAACCTAGACATGTTCAAGAACTTGAAAGCAACTGACCCAGGCATTAAGCAGGCCCTGAAGGATGGTTTCCCTGGCGTGCTCTCCAATCTGGACAGATATGGCAGGAAAATATTGGTCCTGTTCGCTGCCAACTGGGACCAGAGCAGGTAACAAAGAGGAGTTGTTATTAATGAGAAGAAAAAAGGGCTTTTGGAGAGTAGAAATCAGCGTTTTAATCTTTATAAAGTAGAGACTGGTTTATGGAACTGTCTATTCAGCACCACACAGCCTTTGTTTACTAGGAAACTACAAGAACTCTTTAACCAACTAAATAATCTTTATGGAAATATTAAAATAAAAGTAGGAAATCAAAAATAATAAAAACACATGCAGCTAAATATCCATATATATCACCCATACACTGTGTAAATGCTGAGCTCATTTCCTGGCAAGGATTTTAAGATGGGAGGACATTTAGTGAGGTGGCCCACTGATGTTGGACTAATTGGCTCAGGGTCAGCATTCCAGTTCATCCCAAAGGTGCTGTCTGGGCTGTGTCCAGTCACAGCACACTGTCTGCAGTGTGATGATGAAGCGTAATACTTTTTTTAAATGAGGACTGAGAGGTAGCCTTTCCTAAATCACTACCTCACACCAGAGGTCTGTGGACAGGGGGGGAGGGTGTACAGTACAGTTTGTACTTATTTATAATTTATTTTAGTATAAACACACAATGTCAAATATTCTCTTTTAGTCTTTTTACCCAAGCTGGGGAAATGGCTCTATCCCTTGGTTACCTGGTCTACAGTTTTGCCCCAGACTTAAATATCCAAACAACTATAAAAAAACAAAAATAAAACTGAGCTGTAATAGCTTAGCAGGCCATTGAAGATGTGACTATATGTCTCCCTCAGGATGAACTGTTTTCAATTTGATTTCGATCTTGGTGATCAAATCTTTATTTTGTAGATACAACACAGGCAGAATTTTGTGTTCCTTGCAGTTTCCTTTGGTTTATCACCAAATGTCAGGCAGTAAACTAAAGTTACACTGATCAGTTTTATTTTTGAATGTCTTTGACTGAAATAAGATTTATACAGGCTCTATTGCATTTATTGCTGAGTAACAAAGTTAGCATACTACTAATATGTTCAAACTAAACAGTGAATATATTCAGCATGTTTGCATGATTGTAAAGTAGAACCTTCCCATCCAGTAAAAAGCAGTTTAACAGACACCAAAAATACTTTTATAGATGTCTGAAAAATGCAAAAATTAGTTTTTACAGGCATTTTCTCACTTTGTTGACATGGCTACAAAAAATGTTTACATCTAAATTTGGTGAAAATGGTACATCGTTCTCAATACCTCTGCAATCTCCTCAGCAGATTTAAACTGTTTCTCGGGGCCAGTATTAATTTTTTTAAGTTTGCTTATTTGAAGAAAAAAAAAAGGCTAGGTGTGATCTGTATGTCTAAATAATGGTCTAAACCAAATTTAACCCAATTTTAGTTTAATCCTTAAACCATTCAGACCTTCGGTATAATCAACAGAGAATTACAGAGTGAGTAACCATAAGTTGATGAAAAGCTGATGTTAGGTTGAATTTAGTTCTTTGCAATGGCCATAAAATATATATTTTTTCACCTTTCACTTTCCAAATAAGTTTAGTTTTAATGTATAAATATGTTTTAATGGCTGGTTGACCAGATTAAACCCAGAAAACAACACCCACGTCTCGTGTACTGGGGCCTTGTCTTGTTATCTTATGACGCCTTGAAATGAAGTGTTGGTTTCTTGCGTGTGTTTGTCACATCCTGTATTCATCTTATGCCTCATGTGCCCTATACTGTAAATCATCTCAAGACCTTTCAGGGCCTGGCTTATTCACCCACTGTGGCTTATTTCAGGGGAAAATCTTTGTAATTACAACTATCAGATAGTAACAGGTTTAAATAGAACATGGTAAATGGACTGGTTCTTATATCGCGCTTTTCTACTCTACCGGAGCACTCAAAGCACTTTAGGCTTTAGATATGAATGTTTACGCTTTAGATAAAGAGGTGCCAGAGTACTTAATTCAGTAACATAGGGGCTGTTAGATACCCCTCATTACTCTGTGTTTATATCCTTAAAATTTTAGTCAATAAAATAACAAATTAACGTAAAATTAAGTGCGGAAATGACATTTCCTCAACATTTTAGGGATGAATCTGCAGACAGCATTTGTGTATTTGTTTGTTAGATTTTTTCATTAGTCTGTATTACTGTCACTATTCATTCACAGAGTCTAGTGCTTTACTGTCTCATAAATAACAGCACAGACTGAGCCAGACAGGTTCAAGGCTAGAAACTTGACTCATATTAAAGCTCTAAGTTGCAGTTTATTTGGCTTTAATATAGAATCGGGCTTGTTTATTGTTTTGGATATAACCAGAATCTGTAGAGACGTCCACCATCTGTTCCATATGTCTGATTACACAACAAATAATTTACCGTGTATCTAATAAAAAAACAAGGAAATAACAATAACCCGACAGATTTATCTCTAGATCTCGCTCGCTTTGGCATGACTTTGATCACATAAACTACACATAGTGTGATAAAATCTTTATGTTTTAGTGTGGTGTCAAGTAGAAAAAGTTTGCAAGTTTTAATAAGTTTTCATAAGATTAAAATAAAATAAATGATTGATTGCTCCTCTCTGAACATGAATCAGTTTGTGAAATCTGTCTGGGTGTTTCATGTTATGCTTTTGTTTCAGTCCAGTGCAGTTTAGAAAGACTTAAAAGCTATGTTGGATATTCTGGATATATTATTAGTAGTCTCAACTAGTAGACGCCTCAACTTGTGCCCGCAATTATGAAAAGGACATCTGTTTTGCTACCTGATAAGCTAATTAAAAAGCACATTATCTGTAGACTAAGGCAATAGGTTTCTTGATAAGGAAGCAGAGAAAGATGAAGAGCGAGATAAGATAATGAAGGGCAACAACAAACAGGAAAAAAGGCACAAGTGTTAAATAGGTACGTGAAGCATCTGAGGTATCAGCTGGATGAAAACCCACAGGGATGGACGAAAGTAGCACCAGGGACCACACAGTCACCAATGACAGCAATTAAAATGTCCCTGAAAACACCCAGCAGATACATTTTAGCTTTTTCACCATTTTGTGGCACAAAGGAACTAAAGACCTATTAATTCATGACCAAATTAAATTGAGTGAAGGTTATCAACAAATTTTACAGACAAAGTTGTGTCAGGCTGATTCAGAGATACCGTCTACAACTCTTTCATGAGATTTATGAATGAGGGCAGTTCAGCACTCTTGTCTGGGGATGCTGCTAATGATTTCTTTTAACTGATTCAGGTAACATTTTTGATTTAATAAATTCTTTAGTCAATGTTAGCAAATGTCAAAGGCTTTATCAAAGTTTGTCATGAGCGAGTTTGATGTCCGCAGTGTTGACCCGTCTAATCAGAACTCAAACCAGAGATTTTTTTATCTTGCAATCAAATGCTGCAATAAATCCTCGAATTTGAGAAAGTGTAGCTGGGAGATGTTTGATATTTTCAACTTTTAACTTTACAAATGTCCTTCATCTCCTTAGCTCGTCAAACCTTCAATATATATACTTTTTTCATTTCTGTTCATGACTGTCAAATCTGTTCTGCTATTTTGTTGAATTAAAAGCTATTTTAAATTCGTCTCAGATACACGTTTGTGGACATACTGAGGGCTATCTTGCTGTCACTGGAATCTATGATAGAAGATCCCGAGCTGCAGGTCAACGGCTTCATCCTCATCATTGACTGGAGTAACTTCACCTTCAAGCAGGCATCCAAACTGACTCCCAGCATGCTGCGACTGGCGATTGAGGGACTACAGGTAAGGAGCTGGGTTAGATCTGACTCTGACTCCAGAGCTGCAGTTTGCATCCCGAAACATGAAAATTATTTATTTGATCCTGAACCAGAATTGTTCTTAAATCCTGTATGAAAAGCTTTAGTTTCATTTTGTTTCACACTTTACAATCATATCGAATGTCCTAATATGTTAGTGGCAAATTATTCTTATTTCCTGAATATATTTGACACTAGAGCAAAAAGTTAGCAACTTATACATCGATTAACATAGTAAATAGGATAAATATCCTATATTCTAAGCTTCTACAATTACAGTCTTGTCCCTGACCAACTTTATTTTCCCTCTTCTGTAAAATCGTAAGCTTTGCTTGTCTCTAAAGTACTATTTTTGATTTTGCTACAGCACCGGAACAAACCTCCAGCCCTCTTTCCATCATCCTCTCTGCAGTCGAAATGTTCCACTTAGGAACAAGTCAAGCACCGTGTTAAAGCTGTGAGCTTCTTTAAATCGCATGAGGAAAAAAATAATGACATTTCCATTTTGATTACGCACTGCTGGGTATTTTTTCTTATTCTTCTTTTTTTCAAGCCTCATTTGGCAGGTAGATGATGTAAAAAAAAGTGATTTTTACTGGTTGTCAGTTTGCTAATAAGAGGTGGTATTCCAGCTTTTATCGTGTAAACAGAGAAATGAAGTGAGATATGACGTTTATATTAGTATAGTTAAGATTTTTTTCATGGCATGAAAACGCATTAGTCTCCTTTGCTGTCACAAACACCTTTAACGTTATTACTGAAATAGGTTACGGGAGAAAAGACTCACAGGCAGCATATAGCGCTGTCCTCGTGTCACTAGCCAAACCCGAGAGGAAAGGTCTTGCTTATTGCTGTGTTTGGGTGACAATTACTCATGTTGTGGTGACATAAATCTGTCTGTAGTCACATTAGAGGATTTGTCTTCTTTATGGGGACAAAGACCCCATAACATACATCAACGTTTAAGATAAGGTTAGGACAAAGGGTAATATGGGGATGGTTGGTAAGTAAGAGTTACTTCTGAATGAACTAAATGAAAGTCAATGTAATGTTCTCTGAAATCTTGGAAAAATGTGTGTGTGTGTGTGTATGCACATAGATAAGGGAGGTTGTTATTGCTTTCTCGACATCTCTGTGAATCATCTGCCAATTTGTGTTGAGCCCCATTAGTCAAAGTGAAATCTAAGGGGAAGTGTTTCTTGAGGGAAGTGTTGAGTGAGACGCAGCGTGGTCTGAGAAATTACCTGATATGTCTGTGATGGATACCAAAGTGTCACAGCTGCATCGTTTGAATTTTGCACTTAATTTGCATCCTGTGGTTTTTTCTTGCAAATTCCCTGAGGGTGAAACAAGTACAACAGAAGATTTCCGTATACCTCTGTGAGAATAGAGTGTTTACCTTCCAAAAATCTAATGTTGCTGCTGATAAACAGGACCTGCATCAAACCCTCTTTTGAATATAAAGAAGGCTGAGAGTAATGGCGGTTATCAAATTACCTTACCTTTGTAGTTGGTACTGTGTAAAAGGCCTCCATAGCAACAGCTGTTGTTGTTTGGTCCATGGGAGACTTGTTGGTCGTGTTACCTGTGATTTTAGGGGTTTGAGCATGATGATAATATATATGTTTCACTTCAGAGAGAAATAAAATGTAGAAATCATCCACTACTGTAATGACTGGTGACTTTTCGCAGCTACATTTTGAATGATTGAACCAGTGCTTCTGATATTCTGGAAAACAAGCCGAAAACAGAAGATTTTGACAGGAAACATTGATCAGTAACATGAAATTCTCACTGTATAATTTACACTCAGTGGACAGTTTGTTAAGTTCACCTTCCCAGATCTGCTTCAATTCTTCATGGCATAGATTCAAAAAAGTGTTGAGCCACATAAACGCTGGCTGCACATCCACAATGTGAATCTCCCATTTCACCACACCCTAAATGTGCTCTGTTGGATTCAGATCTAGTGACAGTGGAGGCCATTTAAGTACAGCAAACTCATTGTCAGGCACAACCAGTTTGAGATGATCTGACCTTTATGACATGTTGTGTTATCCTGCTGAAAGCAGCTGTCATAAGATGGGTACAGTGTGGTCAGAAGGGGGTGGAAACAGTCAGCAAAAATACTGAGGTAGTCTGTGACATTTAAACAATGCTCAGGTGGTGCAAAGGGCCCAAAATGTGCCAAGATCCAACATCAGAACTGGGCAGGATGGGTCCATGCTTTCATGTTGTTTAGACCACAGTCTGACTACCATCCAAATGTCACAGCAGAAATCAAAACTTCTCAGACCTGACAATGTTTTTCCAAGCTTCTCTTATCCAGTGTTGGTGACTCAGTGTTGCAGCTTGAGTTTCCTGTTCATAACTGATAAGTGTGATGGTGTGGACTTTACTGCTGTAGCCCATCTGCTTAGAGGTTTGATGTTAAAAGATGGTCTTCTGGTTGTAATGAGTGATTATTTGAGTTACTGTTGCCCTCTTATCAGCTTATAGCAGTCTGAACAGTCTGAACTGTTTACATGCCTAAAAGCATTTTGTAACTGTTGTGTGTATTTACGTGTATATTAGGGTGATTAGGGTTGCAGTGGTCTGGTAATGTTAATATCAATTGTACCAAATTATACAGAATTATACACTTTTTTATTCATTATAATGATACAATTAATTAATTAATTATCATTAACCCTTTGCTTGTCTCAGGGTTCACTGGTCAGTTGTTTGGTCAACATACTTCCATCTGGCCAAATTCTCATTGGTCTAAATATAGGTGACTAGTCTTATTGTCACTAGTTGGCAAAATCCTGCTATTTTGCAAACTAATCAGCAATTCTTCTTAGAGGAGACTGAACTATGCTCCCTAAAGTCACATTTCTACTAATCCCCACAAAGACAAAGACGTTAGCTTAGTGTATTTCTTCTTTAGCCGGATACTTTGATGCTCCTTTCCACCTCCTCCACTTTCTGTAAACATTAGTTGTGTGCTGTCAGCACACAGTTGATGTGGTATGTTGGTGAGGGAAAAATCCTCCCTTTTTTCAAGCGGAGGAAATAACTGTGGACTCAAGCCAGTGCATCACTGTGATGAGTCCATACATAACACATTTCTGACGGCTCTCCAGACACAGATTAGAGCCTGAATTATTGATGGGAGCTATTAGCTGAGCCCTGAGTCATTCCTAACTGTGCGACTGCTTGGCCGAATGGATGCTCGTCGCTTGGTGCAGAAAACAAAGAACATAGGTGCGATAAGGTGGTTTAATTGGTTTTACTTTGAGAAATAAAATGCAAAAAGAAAAACTAGACACTGAAATCGAAATGGCTGTGGTGATCAATTCAGTCTTATTTTTCTCAGGATATGAAAAGAAGAATATAATTTCTGATGGCCTATGGCCTTTACTTTCCTATTGTCAGCATTTTTTTTTAATTACCGCAAATGCCATAAAGTACCAATGTATCCTGCGAACAGTTATTGTGTTTGTGCATGTGTCCCGTGCCTCATATGTTTTATTTCTTTGTCCCACTGAGCTACATTAAAGCCTAAACAATATTAAAAAATCCATCATTGTGCCACCTTAATATGTTCCTGAATAACACGAGTACACTCTTACACTTGTTTGTTTTGACTCAGTCACACAAACAAACGCTGTCCTGGTGTGTTGAATATTCGTTCGAGCCACAAATATGTATTAATTCACAGCTAAAAATACATAGGACCCTACAAATGTAGTTTTCTCTTTTTGAGAATAAGGAGAACACACACACCACTATTTAAAACCTGAACTACTGTCACGGCTGGCGGGGTGAGCCGTGTGGTGTGGAGGAAAAGGAGGACCCAAAATGCAGACAGCCGATATGGTGATATGAGTGAGGGTTTATTTACAGTGCACAAATAACACAACTGAGGGCAGGACAGAACATAAACCTAAACTGGGTGAGCTAAATAACAAACCGGAGATCATACGAACGAGGTGAGTGGAAGAGAGACGCAGACGAGGAACAGGACACCATGAAACACAGACGACGCAACGAGAAGCACAGGCAGACACCAACTATAAATACACACACCAGGTAATCAGGAAATGGCACACAGGAGGG